ACACTATAAATATATAGTGTCATATGTGAATTGTGTCATATGTGAATTTATTTCCATAAAGCCATTCAAAGAGTTGCTTTTGTAAATGTGCAAGTTCATACATGAAACCATAAAAAAATTGTTGCTGAGAAAAATAAAGACCTTTATAAATGGAGGGATATATTGGGTTCATCGATCAGAACACTCTATAGTGATATCAAGTCTCACTATTCCTAATCCCAGGAGGATTTCTTATAGAAACATGTAAACTGAGTCCAAAATACATGTGGAAAAATAAAGGACCTACGATTGCCAACACAACCTTGAGAAAAAGGAACAGAGATGAAGGACATAAATTGACTGACTTCAGGGTATATTGAACTGCTACAGTTATCAATACAGTGTGGCCCGACATAGGGATGGAAACACAGACTAATGGATGATATATAGATAGAGCACAAACGACCCACACTTTTACAGTCTATTAACTTCCTCAAAGTCACTAAAACAATCCTATGGTGAAATGAAAATCTTTTCAACAAATCAGTATGAAAAATACAAACTTCAAATTCTGCCTCAAATTATGGACAAAAAATCAACTTTATCTAAATGTAAAAACCCAAACCATAAAGGAAACCTATTAAAGAAAAGGAAACATAAAGATATGCTTGCAATTTAAGGGTATGAAAGGGTTTCTTAGACGGGACACAGAAAGTAATAAGAATAAAAGAAATGTAATCTCATAAATTAGATTTTATCAAAATTTACAATAACTTCTCATCAAAAGACACCATTAAGAAAAGAAATAAGCAAACTTCTTAATGAGAGAAATATCCACGAAACATTTATCTGACAAAAGGCTTATAAACAGAATGTGAAGAAGCTCCACCAAGTAACCAGAAATAAATACACAGGAATAACAGGCAAAGGATTTGAACAGAAGATGTGCAAACAGAAAGATGCAAGACACGTCAACAGTCAGAGTTCACAAGACATGGGACACAGCACCATTAGTCATCGGGGAAATGAAAATTAAAACTGCAAAAAGATGCCACCATGCACCTACGAAGGTGACAAATTTAAAAGATTAATAGCTCCAGATGTTAAGTTTTCTAAATGATATGGAAAACCTCAGATTTTCCATACATTGCCACGGGCACGTAAACTGATACAAGCATTTTGTAACAAGGTTGGCAGTTTTTTTTCTAATGTTAAACACAGAGATGCTTTTCTTCTTTTCTTTCTGTGACAGAATCTCCCTACGTAACCCAGACTGGCCTGGAACTCACTATGTAGACACGCTGGCTTTAAACTGGGAAATGCTTCTATCTCTGCCTCCAAGTGCTGGGATTACATACCTGCCCCACCATGCCCAGTCTAGAGGCAGTTCGTAACCCAGCAATGCTACATACAGACATTTAGCCAACACAATATGTCAACACACAGCATCAGCTAAAAGAAAGGCAAGCAAATATCTCTAACAGCTTATTTCACAACGGAAAAACTGGAAAAACTCCAAATGCTATCAAGGACAATGGATAAAAAGCCTCTGAGAATGAAATAGATACTCATTAAAATGACTTACAGCTCAACAATACAAGGGAATGAGTTACTAATACTTGTAACGACATGGATGAGTCTGAGGACATTATTCTGAGCGACTGCACCCAGACACAAATGAGCTTACATTGTATCATTCAATATAAATGAAGTTCTAGATAGGCAAAGCCAATCTGAAATTTTAAAAAAGACTTTTTGCCAAAGGAAAGAGAAGGAAAGGAAACCTGACAGTGGCTGCCTCCTTCAAAGAGATAAAGACTGCTTGGAAGTGGACAGAAAGTACGTGATCAGACAGACGTTCTTCATTGTGATGGTAACGTGGGTTACGTGGTATGTCTACCTGTCCAAATCGATTGGCTATGATTTATGAATTTCAGTGTGATTTTTCCTTAACATGCTAACATTCTATAATGAAACTGTCATCACCAATCAATGGTAGTGGAAAAAAGCACATTGGCTCAAGCCTGTAATCCTAGCTGTTGGGAGGCAGAAATTGAGAGGATTATGGTTCAAGGCCATCCCTGGCAAAAAGTGCTGTAGACCCCATCTCAACCAATAAGAACCGGGCATGGTGGCATATGCCTACCATCCTTGCTATGAGGGAAGTGTGAATAGGAGGATTGCAGTGCATGCCAGCCCAAGCATAAAGGGACACCCTATTCAAAAAATAACTAAAGCAAAAGGGACTGGTGTTGTAGCTGAGTGGCAGACCACCTGCCTAGAAGCCTGAGGCTCTGAGTTCAAACCACAGTACTGGAAAAAAAAGGAAACAAAAAGAACAGTATGTTAGTTTTCTGTTACTGCAACAAATACCTGAGAGAAACAATTTAAAAGGAGGAGAGGTTTATGTTGGCTCACTATGACAGAAGTTCAGTCCCTGGTCCGTCATTTCTAGGTTATGGCGAGGTAGAGCTGCTCAACCCATGGTGGCTGGAAGCAGAGAGAGAGCATATGTGTCCCTGTGCTAGTGGCTTCCCCTTCTTCCCCTCTTGTTTCATCCAAGCCCCCAGCCTATTGGACGGTGCCACCTACCCTTCAGGGCAGGTCTTCTCTCCCTGGTTAATCCTATCTGGAAACATGCCCTACAAACACACGCAGAAGTGCTCTTCACTAATCTCCTAGGCGCTTCTCATCCAACCAGGTTGACAATCAAGATTCATCATTGAAAGCTGACTGTTGTCCCTGGGGCATCAGCGAGGATTCATTAGGCATTCTGTTTTCTTCTATATAATAATTGGAATTTTATATAATAAAAAGTTGGAAGTAAAGAAGGAAGGAAAAGAACGAGGCATTAGACTTCAATTTTAACCTTTAGTCTGACCCTGATGTTATTTTCATAGAACTCAAATAGTGAACCAGTTCTTTTAGGAACAGTATCTTGAGTTAAATAATATTATTTCTAAAAATAATATATTTATTCAGACCAGGAACTTGGAGAGTAGATGAATTTAACACAAGAATGACTAATTTCTTCCCATGTGGCCTAACTGCCCTAGAGCAAGACTTCTCAGCCTGGACTCTATTGACATTTTGGATGGTATAACTCTTTGTCACAGAGCTGTCTAGTCCACTGTAGGACACTCGTCAGTGTCCCTGGACTCTGTGCACTAGACACCAGTAGCATCAACTACCATTTCACTCATACTTGTGACAACCTACAATGTCACTGGACATTGCTGAATACCCCTGGGGGCAAAACTGCCCGGCTAAGAACTTCTACAATAGTCATCCTCAACTGACCCTGGGGAGGGATGAAAACCAGTTCTTGGGAAGATGAAAAACATCTTAGATATTACAATCATTTGGACAAAACTGACATTTGAAAATAAAACCTTTAGCAGCTCCTGCCAAGTTTGCTGATGTCTCCTGACATGACTGTGAACCTGGGAGCTTTCATTTTTAAGTACATTAACAGATATACAATAAATCCATGACATTAAAATCTCATGGTGGGAATTAGGTAGGAAAGTCTAAAAGGCTCCAGAGGGAGGAGGGGGTGATGATGCAAATCAGGCTGAGAAACACTGGTTCTGCTGTGAGCTTTCATTCCCTGCAGGCCTTGGCAAGCCAAAAGCAAAGCTTCCACCGTGCGCCAAGTTTTTGGGTTGGCAGAAAGACGTGGTCAGATAAGTGCAGGTGCTTCTCAGAACCTCTGCAACATGCTTGAAATGCCGGATAATAAAAGGGCTCTTGCCAGGTCTGCTGATGTCCTCTGGCATGATAGCAAACCTGGAAGTCCACACGAGGTGGGCTGACCTTAGACAAATGAACCCCCAATTTGTTCCGGTTGAACCAATGACCTACACAGCCCAGACCCTTTAACCTAAGCTTAAAAGAAGAGTAAAGGAGCAGTTTTCAGGCATCCTGTCTACCAGAAAAACCCCTTGGCAGCAATTTCACTTCATAAGATGATGCAAAACAAATGACTCTTGCAAATTCCTCTGCTCTCCCGTTTCCCCTCGCCTTCTGCAAAAGGCTTCCTAGACAATCTTAGAGGCAGGTGGTTTAGAACATTGAATATTCATGCTTGGTGGAGTTCAATCTGGCATGGATGAGATCTTGCAATAATTTCCCCCTTCATAGCAAAAACCTATTTGGATTTCTTCAGCAAGAGCAGACATCCAGACTCAGTCTGCAAAGACCCATTAGCATGCACACTCTGCAGTCAAAAGCAACATGGCCAAACAAAAACCTAACAGCAAACAGCAACTCTACAAAAAAGGCATCAGAGCACCCTGATGGCATTTCTGACTTGAAAATATGTCAACTTGGCTCCACTGTGGTGGTGACTTGCTGTTTGGTCAAATCTCATATTAGGTGTTGCTGCTGTATTTTTGGAAGTGATGACCTTTAGAATCAGTTGTCTTTAAGCAAGCAGATTTCCCTCCTCATGGCAAGTGGACCTCAACTAATCAGAGGAAAGTCTGGGGGTTCCTAAATAAGAAGGAATTCTTCCTCAAGGGTGTTGCATAGGACTGGAGCAGGGACTCCATGTGGCAGCACCTGAACTGCACACCACTGTTTGCAGAGGGAAAGCAGGTGGCCAAGAGGCTACTGACATGCACAGCCAAAGACAGAGTGCCCTTCGGCTACCAAGGGGCAGTGCTAATGAGGAGCAGATCGTCCATAGGCAGGCTCAGGGGCTAGAGGTGTCAGGCACCTCAGAAAGCAGATGTAAGAGGTCAAAACAGGGAAGCAGAAAGACCCTAGAAAGAGAAGCTAAACTCTCTGTCTTGCAAAGCCAGCAAATGACTCCCTCCTGAACTCTTGAAGAAGACAGAGGTTTAGCCATCTGAGGTTCTGGGCTTGGTGAAAAGAGAAAAGCAGAGGACACAGCTCAACAAGCAGACTGAAACAGGGAGATTAAGTCCAAGTGTAAAAAGTGGCTCATGAGCACAGAGGGCTCCCAGAGTGCCAGGCTCATGCAATCCCACAGGAGCCTGGGCGCCTCAGCTGGAGGCCTAATGTGCAGGGTCAACCAGTGGAGCCAGCTCGTTCCCGCTCATCCAATTAGTGATCTCAGTCCAGTTAGCTTTAACCATGCAGCCAGAGCAAGAACATCTGGCCGAGGACACCAGATATCCAAAGAAAGCTCGATACCAGATACCCAGAGAAGGCAGGGAGCAGGTGAAACCTGCAAACGCACAGATCTCCATGAAGAAAAGAACAAGGTGGTGATTGTTTTGAAAATAAGAAGAGCTCAAGAAAGAGCCCTCAATAATGGCATGCCTGTCATTCCAGCAGTCAGGAAGCCAAGGCAAGAAGGTTGCAAGTTCTAAAACAGACCTTGTCTCAAAAGAGAGAGAGAGAGAGAGAGAAGAGATCTCAGAAACACTGTGAACTGGAATCCTGCATGGAAATGATTTTTAACTTAGACTTCAATACACAGCTAAAGAGAATTAACACACCTCAAACATAAAAGTCTCAAACCACAGAACTAATCTCTACCCCGTGGTGGGAACTACGGAAGAAAGTGCTTCTATAGTGGCACTGGACGCTCAGCCCCTCAATCCATGAGCACGGCATGGTGTTCTAAGGTGTGCCCTCACCCTCAAAGAGGTCATGGCCACGACCTTCTTGTCCCCTTCCCAGGTACTGGTCAATACCTCCTAAACAGTAAAGGCACAAGAAGAATCTGCTGAGCCTCAGCCAAATACACCTTTTGGAACTTCTCTGCTATTTGAAGAGTACATCCCACAAACATGAATTGCCCATTTTGTACTGCAGTAGAGTTGTTTAAAAATGAAACAACCCACATGCCCAGTTTGAATGTGCTGTTCTTGCTTTCATGTTGCTTTTTTTTTTTTTTTGGTTTCTGTTTTTTTGTTTTGTTTTGTTTCGTTTTGTTTTAGAACAAAGCCTTGCTATGTTCTCAAACTCATGATCCTCCTGCCTCCATCTCCTGAGTGCTGGTATTCCAGGCTGTGCCACCATACCCGGCTTAGTAATGTTGTTTAATACTGTGGGTTTGCCGCATGGTCACCTGCAGAGTTGATGAACTTTCTCCACAAAGGGCCACCTAATAAATGTTTTCAGCTCTATGGGTCGTATGTCCCTTTAGCAACTATTCAACTGTCATTTTAAAGTGAAATCAGGCACAGACAGTGTGTAGAAAAATGGGCATCTCTGTGTTCCAAAGACTTAATTTATAAAAATGAGCAGCCACTGGATATGGGCCACATGCCATCAGGTGCTGACACTTGGACACTTCTGCATTATTCAGAGTTCCAGATTCCCACCTTGTTTACAGGACAGATGTTTCTTAATAGCTTAACTGGGCATTAGTGATTTTTCTTTGTAACCTCTATCCTTCTCCTGGAAGTTGAATCAATACCCAATCAAACTTGAGATTCTGCGATGCAAGATAGATTCCCTAAACGAAATCACCTGCTCTGTACAATTGTGGTATCTGCTCAAAGGGCATAGGCTGGCTTGCAGAGCAAGTCCCCTAAGAATGCCACCATGGGGACATACTGCTTGCTGGAGGTGTGCCACGTGGGCACTCCGGGTGAGAGCTGATTGACTGTTTATGGGAGATTAAGAACAAGACCCTTAGGTCTCCCTCCCCCTCAAAAATCAATGTTTGTTCTTTTTTTAAAAAATGACAGTACTGGTGTTTGAACCCAGGGCCTCACGCTTGCCAGACACGCTATCTACTACTTGAGCCACTCCACCAATCTTGCTCTGTGTTGAGAATTTTCAGATAGGGTCTCACAAAATATTTGCCTGGGATGGCTTCAAACCACGGATCCTCCTGGTTTCTGCCTCCCAAGTAGTTAGGCGTGAGCTACAGGAACCTGGTTCAATGTTTGTTCTTAAGTTTAAAAAAAAAAAAGCCAAGTGTTCTATAGCATGATAGGAGAATATGAAGAATATGGATTATATCCTAGTTATCAGGAAACAGAGCAGAAGAAATACTCCTGTCCCCCTAGTCCGGGAGTTAGTAGGTCTAGGAAGTCTGTCACCTCTGCCAGGCCCTCAAGTCCAGCCTAGGAAACTGTAATAAAATGAGGAGCCACTGAGGTCATCCACTCTGAGGAGCAAAAAGTCACACCATTAGCCCCCATCAGAAATCCAGAAAACAGCACAAGTGGTTTCCCAACTAGATTCAGCAGCTCCCTTCTAGCCAATCACTGTCTTGTCACAAAAAGGGGAAAGACAGCAGATGAGAAGGCCAATATCAAAGCCTAGAGACCAGGTAGGAGTCCTTGTCTGCCAACTAGAAACATAAATCTCTAAGAAGCATCTGAGGTAAGAGACAGTAACAGCCTGCCAAGAAGCCTGTCTAGCACAGATCACCACCAGCCACACGTTGCAAGGCAGTCAATGGCAGCGCTGTGAGAAAGCCAGCTTTTGGTGGCCGGAAAGGACAGAGTTCATCTTAAATAAACATTTCCATAATGGCTGGCCACTAATCTCTGCCATCTAGCAGTCAGCTAGCTCTTTGGGGTATTCACATAACAGCTACTTCCTGTCCAAGTTCAAATGCAACAGCAGACACTAACCTGTACTATGGTCCTCAGACAGCTACTCAAAAAGCCAGGATTAAGGTTTTTCCATCTTAGGAAAGCGTTTCACTTCTTAGTTCTTTTCATTTTTGAAGCCTCTTAAAACTCAGCACTAAATCTTTGGGAGGACAATATATACCAAAAAACCCCACAAAACAATAACAACAGCAACAGAGGACTTGAATGAGCCTGTAAGGAAGCAGATGATAAGCAAACAGGAGCTGACCCCATGACAATGCCATTCCAGGTCCCTGGAAACAACTTGGAAATCCCTGAGAATAAGGATATGCCTACTCAACACAGCAGGAACCCCTGCATCTGCTGCCTCCAACCCCTTCAAAATACATTCTCACTTAAACTGTGACATCAAGGAGGAAAACTGAATTTGGAAGGAAGCAAGTCAAGATGGATGCTCTGCCTCAAGGGGCAGGACTGACAGGAGCCCAGAAGACCCTGGAGACCTACATCTTCACACATCATTGGGCCCCTTCCACAAGAACCCCGTGGGAATTATAAAGCAGCATTCATGTAGTAATGGATTTTTCCATTACTCCTTCATGACCCTATAGCACTAAGTGTTAGATCTGAATCTCTTTATCTACTTCCTAGAGCCTCGGCAACAAATTACCATTAACCTGGTGGCTTCAAGCCAAAGGCATTCATTCTCTCACAGTTCTGGAGGCCAGGAGTCCAAAATCAGGATCTCTGAACACTCTGAGGGAGAAATCCTTCCTCATCCTCTGGTCCTGGTGGCTGCAGGCTCTCAGTCTTCACCCAGGTTTCTTTTCTTATACCTCCCCTGCCTGTCTTTTGGAAGGCCATCTGCCATTGGGTTTAGTGACTTCCCTAAATCCAAGATGATCTTATCTCAAAGTTCTTATCTTTTTTTCCAGTAAGTAAAACAGTGGATTTAAATAAAAAATATAGTGGATGATTAATAGAATCAAGGAAATGACCGTAACTATCTCCTTACATAGTATTCTCTCTCTCTCTCTCTCTCTCTCTCTCTCTCTCTCTCTCCCCTCCTCTCTCTCTGTGCGTGTGTGTGTGTGTGTGTGTGTGTGTGTTGAGAGATCCTTAATTATTCTCTTGGCAAATTTCCATTACATAATACAGTGTTATTAACTAAGACGCACTTCCCACATAAAGCCACAGTCATAGGTTCTAGGGCCTAGGACTTAAACATATTTGGGGGGGGCCAGTATTCAACCCACTACAGTCTCAAAGAAACTAGAGGAGAAGAGGAGTTATTTCTTTAGACTAACATGGCCTGTGAATATTCCACGGTGTTAACTCATTGAGAGGTCCTTAATTGAAGAAATAAACTAAAGTGAATATGGTTAATTCCATTGCACCATCAAGTTCCTGAGTTGTATTGTCCAGGGCAAAGGGCCACACATTACACTCTGCTGAACTCGTGAAAGCAACACATGCTTGTAAACTCCAGCACCTTGTCTGCAAGCTTATGATTTCTGTTGAACATCTTGTTTCTAAGCCACCACACTACAGCGAGGAAAAACAAACTTTGCTTAACACTCACATACCAATGTTTCTCTCTCCACCTAAACTCCCCCAAGAAAGTGGTCAGGAAACATGAGCAGAGGACCTAGAGAAAGTCCCAGCCAAGAACTTACAGGAGGAATGGATGCTGGGGAAGCTTTTGCGGCCTTCGGACACCAGATCAGGGTCACCTGTGCAGTGCATTTCTGAGTTCATCACTCCATCTGGAAAGCATCGGTAAAAGAAATCGGGACGAGGTCTACAAAAGACACCATGGACATTTTCAATATAAAATGCTGCCATCACAAATGAGCCCCAAGCTGAGCCCGCCTCCCCACAGACCCAGCCCCTTTCATGAGTTCCCTCTGCCACCAAAGCTGGAGCTCCCCCCATGGAGCCCTCTGAATATGGTGGTTGGTTCTGGAAAGCTCAGGCTCTGGGGTCAGAAAGACCTGAGTTGGAACTCTTGCTTGCCACTTACTAGTTTTGTGACCTTAGAAAGGCCACTCAGCCTCTCCCAGCCTCAATTTCCATATCCATAAAATGGAGAAATTAATATCTAGTCAAAAGTGAGGTCCTGAGCATCAAATAACATGACTTATAAAAGGCATCTAAGCATAGCATCAGTAGTATAAAAAGTACTTCCTGCCTCAGTTTACTGCTCTGCCAATCCAGAGACTGCTTCTAGAATCCAGGACTCCAAGCCTCTCATGTCCCTATGTTCTGAATTTCATGGCCAATTGCCCTTCCTCAAACCATGGGTGTCACTTAACCTCATGGAGAGACTTTGACAGCTCTGCTGCATGATGCAGAGAACTCAGTGACCCCTGCTGGCTTCTCTGCCTAGGGCATGGGTCACAGACCTCTACATTAAGAGGGGTGGCCCTGGCCCTGAAGCCAAGTCTCCCACAGTAAGCACAGCTAATGTTTATCCAGTACTTACTGGATGTGGACACAGCATTAGGCAGCACATGTTCATCAAACCATGCGACTCCTGTGAAAATCCCTGAGGCACTGTCAGGAGCTTAGGAAGGTGAAACTCTTGCCCAAGGTCACACACAACCAGTAAGCGGCAATGGTAAGTTCTGAACACCAGAACTTATAGGCATCAAGTCTTGTGCCTACATGCTTTTCCCCATGCTCAACCTTCTTGCTCAGATGAGGATTCTCAAGTGAAGGGATGACAGTCCATTATTTCACAGCAATTCAACCAGTATTAGCTGAATGCCTACCACAGGTGAGGTTTTGCTAATGCTGCAAACACAGCACCCTTTTTCTTCATACTGGGCCACAGCTGATATACACTGTCACTGGTTCTGCCCACTCTGGGATCTGAGACCTCAATAAGCTATCACAGCTGCTGATGTTATTGAGTTCCCTTGACTCAGTGTTTCTCCAATGTGGCTGTGTACCTACTCAACCAGAATGCCAGAGGAGGAGGTTTGAAAGTCAACATTTTATCAAGGCCCCACAGTAACAGTAAGCACACAGAACTTGCTTACTGTTCTGTAAGCAAACTCCAGACAGCACAATGACCGTAGATACTCCTCAGTGCCGACAGCACAGCACCCTGCTCCAAGTTGATAATCAATAAATTCTAAGGTTATGAAAAAGGATCTAACTTGTTCAAGGCCAAAAGCTAGTCATGGTTCAAGTCAGGTCTTCAATTCAGGTCTTTGGACTTCCAATCTCTACAGAGATCAAGCTCCTACCACAGCAGTCAGAGGAGAAGGAAAGATAAATGCAAAACAGAAATCATTCCTCAGGGACACTAAGAGAAATATGTTATAATCTCAAGTGCCAATCCATATATCTCACCCCAAAGAGAACAAGAAATAAGTAACCTCATTTATATATTAAAGGCCCAACGTGACAAGTAAATGGGTCTGCTAGTCCCTGGAGTGGCTCTAAAAATGCCAGCGATGGGCTTTGGAACACATTTTCTCGCTTTGGATCTCCTGCTCTCTAAAGTACTGAGTTCATAATTCAAAGGAGAAAAGATCTGTGCTGAAGATAGAAAACCTAGGGGGCAACAATTTAGGGGAAAACCAGAAGAGCTCAAATTTGTCCTAGCCAGTGTCCTCTAGCCATACTTCCTATATAGGTGACCTTGATAGTCTGTCATTTGGTTTTTTTGGAACTTACCTTCCCACTATTAATTTAATAGTGTTTGTGCAGACTCCATTCAAAGCAAGAGCCAAGGACACCGCTATAAAACAAAACCAACAGACATAAAAATAACCAGCTGGATCTCCAGACAAAATCATCATCACCATCCCCATCATCACCACCACTATCATTATCACCATCACCATATCATCACCATCACGATCACTGTCACTATCACCATCACCTTTATCACCATCCCCATCAACACCACCATCAATCATCACCATATCATCACCACCATCTTCACAATCACTGTCACCATTACTACCAACACCACCATTATCACCACCATCATCACCATCATGATCACTGTCACCATCCCATCAACACCACCACCACCATTATCACCATCCCCATCATTACCACCATCATCACCATCACCATACCATCACCGTCATCACAATCACTGTCACCATCACCACCACCACCATCATTATCACCATCATCACTATGGCCATCATTATCATCACAATCATCATAAGTATTATCATTATCACCACTATCACCACCATTATCATTACTGTCATTACCCCTACCATCATTCACCACATCACCATCGCCACCATCATTGTTATCACCATCACCACCACCAACATCATTATCATTGCTATAACTATCATCACTACCACCATCACTATTATCACCATCAATATCATTATCACCATCACCATCATCATTATTACATTTACATCATAGTGCTGAACTTATTACTATAGAGATATGAAGCAATACTTTAAAACCAGAAGGAAGCTTTGTTTTTAGAGCAATATATAATTGGACTAGGAATTTGGAGAGTGAGACATAAAATTCCAAGTCTCTGTGACATGAAATTTATCTCTCCTCCTTGACTGAAGTTTTCAACATCATAGAAGATCCCATCTATCATTTTCTGGGCTGGTACGAACAGATTTAATAGTACAGCATATAGAACTTCATTTACTGGTAGCAACAAACATAACATTTTTATTTCCTCCTGAAAACCTTCTCAAACATAATTCTAATCAGAGCAGCTGTGGGAATCCTATTGCAGAATAGGACATCCCCACCAGGGCACTATCTCATTGTTGACCTACCACCTGTCAACAGCTGCCCATTTGTTATCAAACAAATCACTGTTTCCAAGAAAGTGAAGAGTTCAGGTGGTGCTTTTTGCCATCTGAAATTGCAAGAACTTCTGCAATACATTATTTAAAAATATACAGTCTAGGGAAACTTCTCTAAGCTTCTTGGAAAGATTCCACTGGATGAAGTACAGATCATCCAAAGGGTGCCAGTGACAGGAGTCACAGAGCTTTCCCCGCAAACAAAAAAAAAATATTTGCACCTCTCCCCTTGGGTTTATCAGGAGCACACAAAAGGCTCAGTCATTATCATCAATGTGAGGGAAGGTCAAATGCCTTGCATAAGCAATAAAAACCTACTGAAGTCCCATTCCATTGCTTTGTTGAACAATAAAATATGTGAGCTACCATTTCCCATTGGCAAATATTAACTGTTCAATACCAGCTGAGATTTATGTATGAACAGAGCAGTGGAGGAGCAGTTTTCGGGAAAGAGCTGCCTCAAGCAATTTATGGCCATCAAGGAAGACAAATGTGTTGTTCTACAAGCAGAAAGTACTGTGGAATGACCAACAAGATCACCCAAGGCACAGGCCACAGTGGTGGGGACAAAGCCACCGGCTTTTAACAAGTTATAAGAACAGGAGAGAAGTTGAAATGAACACCTTTGTCAAAGCAAACAAATCACTGATGTGGGGATGGGGAAAAACTGACCATATCTGAGTGTGGTGGCCAGAAGGGACGGGCCCCACACAGAGAGCAAAACATGAGTCAACACAATGCTGCCACCAAAACACCAAGCATGAAACCAGGGAGCACACACTGGAATTGAGTGTGAGGGACTGGCACAGATCCACAGATTGCATTCTGTATACACAGACCTTTCTTTCCTAAGATACCAGCTTCCTTCTCTCTCAAAAGTTCAGAACACAATTGAGAGGTCTTTTTTGTACAGGAGAGAAAACTCCCTGGGATATCTTGGCTGTATGCTCTCCCTGAGCCAAGACAATTAACAGACTGAAATGGCCAGGAAATGTCTCTGGTCTTTTCCCTGTTAGGGCTGGCCCAGCAGGTTCCCTGCTGGGTTTGTAGGGCTGGGCTCAATCTTATCCTGGTTACAGTATGGCCATGGCACAGATAAGCTGTCTCAGAATGAGCATCACTAGTTGATCTCCCATCATAAATCATAGTGAACTTTATATGCAGCTGCATCATTCCAGAACACTTTATGCTCCCCAAATTCTGAGCCAGGTGGGCTTATCACAGAACAGAGCAGTTCTTCAAGGCATGTGAAGTAGCTGAGTAGAAAATGTATGGATGTGATCTCACCACATACTGCCCTCAACTTAACTCACTGATCCAAATATCTGAAGGAGACAGAGAAGGATGGGAAGCTAGAGTGACAGTGTTTAGCATGAAAATTATTTCAGTATCCTGTAAGTAAACAAAACTGATTAATATTGTCATCTAAATGACACAACCCTGCAAGGACCTCTCATGACACCAGAGAGAAATCTGTGCTTAGATCAGATAGTCGACGGACTGGACAAGCTGGGAAATGCACAGCCCCAATCAGGAGTCTTTGGTGATTAACACTAGCCCAGCAGGTCTGACTCACAGGCTGCTATTACAGCATCCCACAACACTGTGAGTTTGACAGAAGAATCAAAAAGACAAACCAGACCATGTTGGATAAAGAAATTAAAATCAATGCATCCTGCAGGTTGGTTTGCAAGGAGCTCATACTGACGGCACTACTGGTTAGAAGCATATCCAAGGATTGGGAGGTTTTGTTATTGCAGGAAATTCAGTACTACAGAACCATAACAGGGTTCTCCACTATACAGACCTGGCTGTGCTGCAACCTGCCACCTACCTGTCACTCATCTCTTCCAGCACCAGGTACACAGACATAGTCAGCATCTGGGTCCCAATTAAGAGCCAGGGTTAAAGTCTGCTGAAGACACTTGAGTAAAGGAGGAACCCAAGAACTAACTGCCCCCCCACCAAGAAAAACCCCAAATGCCAGACTTTAGAAAATACCTAATTTTCATTCCTTGGTGTTTAAAGATCATTCTTCCCAGTCCCTACTTTCAAGCCTTCTTAAAAGCAGAGACTATTTAAAAACCCTATGCACAATGGGCGCTCTTGATCATTTTTATAGGGCAGTGGTCATTTATTTAGGCAAACAGAATATCTAGTAATTCCACCTTCTCAGTTAACATATAGGAGTCAGAGTATAGTGTCCAATTTTGAAACACCATTCTAAGAGAAACTTAGCTGAGAATGAAAACATCTAGAGAGGGTACTAGAAGCTAAATATGGCCATCACAATAGATCAGCTCCAAAAGCTGGCGGTAAATTATAACCACACCACAGTAGACAGTTCTTACTCATTGTCATTTATTTTGGGCCTTTGTGCCAAGGGAGCAACTGGAATAAAGAGTGAAGTAAAGAGATTTCTAGGACAACTAAGAGGGCTCCCAAAAGGATGTGTTAGGAACCACAGTGATATTTGTCCAAACACTATCTAGCTACTTGAGTCAAGTGTCAGAGGGCACCGATATCCTTCTCAGAGACACTGACCTCTTTGCCATCAGCTAAAGAGGTCAAGGTCATATGACTAAACTCCCAACACACAGGTGAACAGCATGGGCATACACCCAACCTGAAGGAGGGCAACCTTGGCCTATCCAGAGACTCATGACTTTGTATCTGGCCTAGAGGAATGAGTTGGATCAGAGTCTCCCTCTAGAGAGTCTAGACCAAGAAACACAAAACCTCCTACAAACTCAAGGTAGAGGGCAACAGAAATGAAGTCCAGGCACAAGAGTGAGCAAGGAGGGGAAGGAGAAGAGGGAAGGCATATTTCAGACAGAGTTGCTCATGAGACGAGGTCAGGGGTTCTCCCCTCTGATGCCCCATTTCTTCTCTGCAGTCCCTTTAAGGCACTTCTGTACTTTCCCCATCTCTTCTTAGAGCTGTGAGATTGCTTATTTTAGCCCTGCAGTTAAACCCCTAATTTATTTGAGCTCATTTGAAAGGGATACTGTTATGCTATTCTTTTCAACTAGACAGGACCTAACTAAAGTCTAGTTATATAAAACCAGCCCCTTGACTATTCTACAGATTTAGGCCTCACACTCACTCCCTCACCAAGAAAAGGGAGGGCTGTATTTTGCTACATTTTCATTTCCCCAAAACCTACTAATTAACAAACACATTCTTCAGTGAGGAATCTCATTTTTCCAAATTTGCTGACTTATTGGATGGCAAGTACATACAACGTACCAAACACAGATTTGGGGGTGAGGATTTGGATAACATTTATGTGATGTGAGGTATCAAAACAAATCAACCTAATTCAGTTCTCCTCAGGATCAAAGAACTGAAGATGTAGCTACAGGTTAATTTACTGTGTTTGCTGAACAAGTCAAATAGTATTAGCTATCTCTCAAACCTGTCATTCACTCAGCATTTGATTAATATGCAGAATAGAAAAACATTCAATCGCAAAATGTCAACTCTTGTCACATGCAGACATGGCTCAGGCTGGGGAGGATTTATAATGATAGTACTATAGTCAATGACAAAGGTTGGAGCACTCTTCACATTATAACAGGGACTTAACTGCCAAAGTGTCCCCAAATAGAAGGTGAGATGGGGCTTACTATTTTATTTTGCACCTACTTTTGCCCATTTTTGTCTCAAGCCAATGATGATTTCTGAATTTCCCATGATGTGGGCCTATTAGTCACAAATGGGAGATTGAACAGTCAGTGATGACAATTTCAGATTTGCTTTGCCGACCCAAGAGCTTCCCTATTCTGCCTCCTTAACTGAGTGGCCCGGATTTCTGATACGATGTCACACGTCAGCATTCAGCACCAAGGACAGCTGCCAGCACACCCTCTGAAAATCCCTTACTTAAAAACTGGCCTTGGAATTGATCTTGTCTTATTTCTCTTGAACTGAATTTGACCAAAAGGGTAATCAATCTGGGTGCAACTGAGATTTTTTTTAAATGTTATTGTTTAATTAATTTCATTCCCATCCCCTAAAGTAGGAACTGTGAATACTCTACCTAAGAAGGCTTCCTTAATTTCAGTCTTGTCTGTTCGTCGGATAATTTTCACCACACAAATAACAGCCAAGGGTGTGAGGAAAGAAATTGCCTGGAAGAAATAACAAACAATCTCTTATGAGGACATCAGTTTGCTCTCAGAACGGCTGATTGATGATTAGACACTGTTAGCTTATTTCAACTCTCTAACAGAATGGTCTTACTGAACTCCTCACCTCAAAATAAGAAGGGGGATTTATCTATACTTACATACAGAATACACACACTTGGAAAACCAAAGGTCTGATTATAGGCTATAATTGATTTATAATTGCTTGGAGCCATATTTAAAGTGGTGGCCTTTTAAACAGAAAAGAATAGTCTGTAATTATAATGGATCATTGTTGCTAGTAACACCCCTCATGTTTTCCTCTTTGGAGGGCTGTCAGCTTCCCATTCCCATTTCTCTGGCAACATGAGAATGTGAACTTGCTTAGAGTCAATCAGTTCAATCCCTTTGTGGGTTTTTATTTTGTTGAATATCCATTTCTTTAGTAGATTAGAGATTATCCCTTTTGTATAAAGTCCTCCATCTTCCTTTCCTTCATGCCCCTTCCTCCACACACATGCTCAACACACACTTAATGAACTAAGCTGGTAGCATCGAGATGCAACCAGGACTCTTTGAAAGCCTACTATGAGGCAGTATCTGTTCTGGTTACCATGACGTTCAGAGTCTCTTAAATGCTTATGATAGCTCTGTGGCCATCTTCTCTGGGTTTGAGGACTAAGTGAGGCCTGGAGCAAGGCCAGGATTTGGAGGCCAAGTTTTCTGCCCATATAGAGCCTTTAATCCAGCTTTCCATAATTAGTATGTTGTTTTTAACATACCAACAGCCAAGGAAAACTTTTTTGTTAACTCCTTATAACTACCTTTTCAGAAGAACAATACCAGAGGGGACTGACCATGATCACATAAATCCATGACATGACTAGCCTAGAAGTCAGTTGTGGGAGGGGTGGGGATGTGATAACTGTGGACCAACACTGTTCATACTTTGGAAATTTTCATCTGTACTGTGGTGAGATGTCACTTTTTGGAGACTTCCTGATGGGACAAAGTCATGGATGAGAAATGTTTTATATAAATGTAGATTTCATCCAAAATAACATGATCTTTCAAAATAATTTGAGATGCTCTATACACTACAACCACACTAACTGAGCTCAAATCACTTTAGGGACTCCGCTTTCATACCTGTCTTCAGAGTCTGTATATGAGGCACCAAAAAGCCCTTCTCCACTTGCCAGTGTTTTTGTGATCACAAGTGGTGTAATCAGTTTGATGGTCTCCCTATCAGCCTTGACTCTGAATGACATGGGCTGTTTGAAGGTCAAATAAGCAAGTCTTGTACACAGTGACAAGTGAAGCATGTGACACAAGTGGGGAACATGGATGCCTGAGGGAGAGACTCAGAGCAGGAGTAGAGAAGGCCAGGAAACTCCTGGGGACTGCTCAGAAGGAGCTTGTGAGTCAGTTCTAGCAACTCTGTGAAGGTTCCACACTTTCCTGGGCGACTCACACCTGAACAACTGCATGGCATGTTAACATGCTGAGTCCCTCAAATATATGTGTATGACAGGGCGAGGGATTGCAATTTTAGCAAGCATCTCAAATGGTCTTAATGCTGAGGACCAAATTGTGAATGGCCCTGTATTGACCCCATCACCAAGTAAAGCCTTAGAAAGGAGAACAACAGAGAACAGGAGAAAATCTTACAAAACAATGCATGCTGGCATATTCTGTTTATTTCTAGACAGAAGTAAAATCCCTGATTAACTATGAATAGGAAAGACTAGGCTATCAAAGGCATCTCAGAGTAGGAAGGCCAGGCCCAAAATGGAGATGGGACACCAGGTGTAGGAGCTGGAGAAGTCATTAGAGTCACCCAGCAACTCCCAGCTGGGGGCTTGATGGCCACAGGGCTCACCTTTAACATTGGTCCCTACCTCAATTTGCCTGTTACTGTGTACACACACTCACATACACACACACACACACACACACACACAAAGAGAGAGAGAGAGAGTGAGAGAGCTTAATGTAATGGACTTTTCAATGTCCTAGATAGATAGATGCCTTTTAGAATGTTTTCTAGGACTATCAATCAATTGCTTCCTGAGTAAATACTGAGCAACCAGGAAGGCCCAAGTTTCCCCACCTCAAGAGTTCCTCTAGCAAGGACCTACAGACTTCAGCCAGAGTGTGCAGCTCCACCCAGAGCCTTCAACAGAAGCATCTGTGTGCAGCTGTCAACACTCTCTCCTCTTCTCCTGGCAACACTTGGACCCTACTCTCCTTTCTTCTTTCTAGACACACATCTACCACATCCTTGGGCAGCACAATACCTGAATCAGGACCCAAAGAGACACATTTACATTTACTTTCTACCCCAGCTTAGATCCATACTTACAACTAAGAGTTGGTATCAAGAGGTGAGCCCCAAAAAGCCAACACGTTACTAAAACTACTTGCTCCTGGCCCAAGAGAGCTGTGGAAAGAGTAAAAGTGAAATAAAGAGAACCAGGACCTCCTCAGCCTCAGCAAACCAGGGGAGTCACAACCTGTGCACACCTTCCCCACATAGGCAAAAGGAGATTCACACATGCACATACCAACTCACCATCAACTAACCAGGAGGAATTACACCTGTGCACAACCTCCCACTCTCAATAAAGCAGAGAAAATCACATCCATTCACACCCCCTCACACTCTCACTAGGACTGAAGAAGCTACTGTCCTATTGGCCACACCCATAGGGCAGAGGAAGACAGACAGGCACATGGAGGTGGGGAGGGGTTTCTTCTCCCTTTCCCTGAGATTATTTCTTCTGTTCATGTTGCTATGGCTACAAACAGTTTGAAATTTCTAGGATCAGCCCAGAATAGGAAGATAGTGAATGGTTAGTGCTTATCAAATGGGACCTGAGAGAGAACAGCGGGTCTCCCAAACACTTCTGCAGGGTGTAGGAACATAGTAATCCCTTGGTAGTCTTGGCTTTGCTCACCTGTAATGAGTGGTGCCAGTTGCTGAATGAACATCCCTAGGTTCAGATGACAAAGGCTAGCATGGAGTGAGTTCTTACTAAGGACCATGGTCTATTCTAGGCACTTCATACAAATTAACTCCATCAGTATCTCAAGCAACTGTATGGAATATGCTCCTGTTTAATGGATAGAACCCTAAGGCACAGAGAAGTTAAGCAACTTGCTGAAAGTCCGAAGTTAATAAGTACTAAGGTGGGGTTTCATTTCCAGGCTGTTTAAAAGAAGCTCTGTACTTTTGACCACAGTGTTACAGCAGTTTTCACCCTAGAAAGTAAGAACAATTAAATAAAACACAATAAGTAATTTTTCCATATATGGATAGCCAATGAATTGTGGATGACTGAGTAGTGAGTAGCTTCAAGTGCAGGAAGGACTGTCATGGAGGAACCCCTAATCTTCTCACTACTCTCTTGGAGAAACATAGTACGTATTGTACAGACAGCTGATCCAAAGTTCAGATAACTAGGTGAACATATGAAGGACCACAGCTAGCAGGACCAGGATCCCAGACTGGGCTGTCAGGTCTTAGATTGGAGCCAATCTCAGTAAACTACACCCAACAGCTTCATCTTACAAATGGGGAAACTGAGGCTGGAATAGCTTATGTGGTAAACAACATTCTGTAAAAGACCGATTTACTACATGATCCACATATAATGAGATGCTAATCTAAATCATTAAGCGGGACCTAGTACATGGCTTATTCCACAGGCTAGTAAGCTGAGCTCTGTAGAAGAAACTGTATGGCACATACTCAGAAGAAGGAAAAGTGGGTTCAGGCTCCAGCGCTGACACTTATCTGCTCCACTTGTCCTTGAGCAAGCCACTTAGCCTTTTTACTTTAATTCTCAGTTTCCTCATCTATGAAATGGATAGAATCACATTCACAGCAAAATAGTATCGCTAAGATTCAATTCACTAACAGAATATCAAATGCTTATTATGGAATACTCCATAAGTAAAGTGCCATAGGTCTGTCACCAATATGATACCCTCCACACCCTGGGAGGGACATGATGATAAAGCCATGTTTTACATGAGGCAGTCTCCAAAACGGTGGGTGATTTTCTGAAATTTCAAAGTTAAGAAGTGGAGGAGCTGGGAGATGCTCTTTGGCAGCTTCTCTGGAAGCTACACCACTGCCTACCATCAGAGCCCAACAAAGGGCTGGCATCCAGCAAATACCAACTGTTGACTACTATTTCATCATAACCCAGAAAAGAATGTTAACAAATATACAAACTATCCCATAGGGAACCAGGATCTGTCCCAGGCACCTGGGATCAAAGCATATTCATCCCAAGTCTAACTGTGCCCTTAGATGTGAATAAGCACCTTGGAGCGCAGGAGGAGGTTGGGGACAGGAAAGAGCACAATTTTCTAGGCACCTTGCCCTTACCTAAATGACCAGTGTCTCCAACTAAGTCCCTAACTCATATATCCACCTGATACCAACATAGGAAGTACCCTCAGTTCCCCCGCCTCTGCTCTACCCAGAAAGTGGGTCAGCCCCCATGCTGCTGCAGGTGCTGTGCTGCCTAGGATGCTTCTGGGAAGTGACAAAACTCAGAGCAGCATGTCTGAAGGGGAAGGATATAAGGGTACCAAGGGCCTTTAGTGATTGGAAAAGATCAAAACCAGAGCAGCCCCAATGTCAGGATGTTAGCCAGAGAAGAGCCATCACTGAGATGCACTCACATAGGACAGGATAAAGGGACAAAGATCCTGCCTTTCAGGCACCTGACAGAAAGGTGTGCTGTAAAGTGATCATAAAGACAACTTCAGGACATGCAGACACCTGGAAAAGGCCCTTCTGTGAGTAAACCATTACATCCCATCACAAAGGAAGAGCTGTTGAAGACTTTTTAAAAGAGACTGCCCATTAAGCTGTCGATCACAAGCCAGTTTTGTTTCTTCCCCAAAGAGCTGACTTTATTTCTGTCTTCCTTAGAAGCATCCTATTCTAGAACAGCACAGTGGTGGGAAGATTGTAAGAGATAAAA